AGCGAGCCGCACCCGAGCATCTCGGCTCAGCACACGATCCATCCCCCCCCCCCCCCCAGCAAGACGAATGTGTCGCGACTCCTCGACAGGACGTCGGCATGGAGCAGGAGCACTCGGAGAGGCTCCATATCCTCCCCGCCACAGAGGCCCCCGATCGCCAGCCGACCATGCCATATTCCCCACGGCCGGCCCTCCCCGAGCCTGGTGCCTCTTCGGCAGCAGTCAGTGTTGCTAACATCGACATAAGATCCCAGACAGGCAGCCCCAAAGAGAGCACCGATGTAGGACAGAAGGGGGATCTTGGCACGCGCTCCCCTTCTTGAACCCGGGGCCATTGCCTCCCGGCCGCCACTGAGACGGCGGCCGCATGCACGCCAGATGTGCGGCAGCCGCCCCGCCCCGCACGCCCCGTGCCCCACCCTCCCCCCGGAAGGTGCTTCTCTCACGGACACGGCTCCCGCCCACATTGGGATCCCCCGCGACTAGGCCCCGGGCAATGCCGCTCAACACCCGGCAAGCACCTCGTCGCAGCACCTCCGAAGAGGAACACACGAGCCTCCACACCAGCCCCCTGTGCGTGCCTCTTGGACTTGCCCCCCCCCCCCCCCACCCCCACCCCACCCCCCAGGTCCAAGTCTCTTGACGAAATGCACCAGCATATGGAGTCAGCCGTCGCGCCATGTCACATGCAGGATCATATGCCCACCACCACATCACGCGCCATCGCCCGTGGCATGGTCTTCGGGGCCTGGCCCGCCGGCTGCAAACACATCTCTCCCCCCCCCCCCCCCCCCCCCCCACATGCGGGTGGTTGAGGCTGAGTCTGGCATACTCATGCAGCACCTCCCCCTGCCTCTCACCCAGGCCAGGGGGATCAGCCCTGGCCCGGCGGCACGCAGAGTCAACACCAGACCCGAGAATGGGCCCTGCGCACACGCAGGCGCCTTTCGGTGGCCCGCCCCGCCTCCTCTCCACGTCCGCCGGGATGCGCTACATCGCCGGCATCCTTGCTTGCCCTGCGACAGGCAATAGCACAGGCGCACCCCGCCACGGCGAGATTGGCCGTGGGGTGCGGGGCCCTGCCCCCCTGTGCGACGGCGCAACAGCAACCGAGTCCCCACAAGGGCAGTGCAACATGCAGCCCGCGCGCCGCCTGGACACACTTGCAGAGTCGGCCCCCATCGGCGGAAGGCGCGGCTTCGATGCCTCCCCCTGCCCCGACCGCCAGACGGCCAGCATGGCGGCCGAACAGGGGGGAAGACTGCCTGCATACACCCCGAGACATGGGCCCATGGCAGGGGGGTGGCCCGGGGGTGGGGCGGGCGGTGCCACTGGCGAGCGCTTGCTCCAGGGCGGGCGCGCGACTCGACACCCGGAGCCAAACCCGGAAGCAAGGATGGAGGACTCGCGCGCGGTTCGCCCGGAAAATGGCGTCAAGGGGCTCCGGCCGCCCAGGCACACAATGCCCTCCCTGAGGGGGGATGCACGCACGGGCCACCGGGCGGCGGTGGCACCGGCCTTCGCGGAGGACGCCCGGGGAGGAGCACCCCCGCCTGCGAGTTCGCGGACCACGCGCGCCACTGCACGCGCGCAGGTGGCTCGCCCACGCGCAGGACCATGCCAAGCAGACCGACATAGGCAGGGCCGTCACCGGGGGCGTAAAACGCTGACCCCTCTCAGGAAGACCGGCTCGCCGGCAGGCCAGCAACTCGATGGCTAGAGGCGCACATGGAGGAACCAGGGAGGGGGGAGGCAAAAAAAAGGGTGGGCATTGCAGGGGGAAAAAAAGGAGAAAATGCACGGAGTGGGCTTGGGGAGCCGCCAGCCCCGGCTGCCGCTCAGGCCCGGGTCCCTTAAAATTAAAAAAAAAAACCAACATGCACACACACCATGTTCGCTGGCCATATTTAATCCCCCTATTTTCGGTGAACAGCCCTTCCGGAAGAAAGTGTAATATGCGGAATGCGTTGGGCATCTCACCGGTGCATCTGCCGACGCATTGGCCGCCCCCACCGACAGTGGCAACCGGGGGCCGGGCTGCGCCCCCGCCTTCTCAAGGTCGCGGCGACCCGACCGGCCCCCCCCCCCCCCCCCTTCGCCATCCTCGCCTGCCCTCCTCCCAGCACCCAGTCGTGCGCCCCTGCTCGGCTCTTGGCCGGGGCTTGTTGCTGCCTCTGCTGGGCAGTGTGCGCTCGCTGTCCCCCGCCACTGTCCCCTCTCCGGGCACTCCGACCGCCCCTACGCTCCCGTGCCCCTCCCCGGTCATGGTGCTGCCCCACAACCGTTGCCCATTATGCCCCGGCCACTTCCTTCAACCAAACCGGCGCCACCTCAATGCCCTGTGCTCGCCACACGCCTGGATCTGCTCTCTCGAGCGTACATCCGACGCTTCCAATGGGCATGAATCCCGGGGCCACACTTGCCACACTTGCCGCCCGGACTGCCGGGCATGCACTCTTTCGGCCGGCTGATCCCGCTGTGCGAGGCGGCCACGCCGCACATGGAGCGGTGGCTGCATTTTCTCCCACCCGCGGGAATTCTCCTCGGCGGAAGCGCACGTACATTGCCTGCTCCGCCCCCTGCCTTCGCGGCTTCCGAAGCGCTTCTGCATACCCGGCCGGCCGTGCTGGGCCCTTTCGCCTGTCTGGTGGCGCCCGCAGCACCGGCACCAATACATTCTCCAGCTGGACTGCCGGGCCTCGCTCTATGACCGGGTCGGCCACGGTAGCTGCCCTTCACGCGCCCTCCCCAACACCACCAGCCACTCTTGTTCCGCGCGCACCCCGACGCACATCCCGCACGCGCCCGCCCCAGCCAGCCTACCTCCTGCCATGAGGGATATCGCCACCCCAATGGATATTGCCTCGCTGCCCGCACCTGCGACCCCCCGTCCCCCCTCCTGCGCCCAATGTCCCGCCACGTATGCAGCAGCCGCCGTCCCGACTGAAAGGCCTCACAGCCAAGCAGGCCGCGGCGGCCGTCCCACAGGCTCCTCGCCCCGCACCACTCGCTGTTGCCACATGTACCCCCTGCCATGGCGACCCCTGCTCACAGGGGCGTGCCCCACCTTTACCAGCAGCTCCAATGCCCCGACCTACACCCGATGTAGCTGCTTCCGAGCCGGCGTCAACGGCAGTGGCGTCTGCCCGGCTGGCGTGTCAGTCCAGATTCCCCGACGAAGTGTGCTCCACCGGCCCGGGCACGTGCTTCTTGCCCATCGGCCCGCCAAACGTGCATTCGCGTCGACAAATGCGCCGCTCATGCTGGCGACCCTTTCCCCCGCCTGGCCTCCTGCGGTGCCGCCCCCCCCCCCCCCCCCCCCCGCTGGCACATCCGGTGGCATCGACACGCGAAAGGGCCCCGCACGCCCGGCCGCCGGCGAAGCATGCTCACCGCCCCTCGGCCCGTCATGCCTGTCGGCCTTGCCCGGATGGCCAGCTGTGCGCGCTCTCCTCCGGATCGTGCGCCGCCTGCGACAGCCAGGACAAGTGTCCCGCCTGCCAAGCGGGCCTGGTCCTTGCGTGTCCCGCGATCCACGCATCCCCTCCCTATGCACCGGCTCGCATCCCCCGAGCGAGGATGCAAGCTCCGGCCCGGCGGGCTCCGCATGACGCCCCGTATACCCTGTGCACCGGTGCACCCAACCTATGCCAGGCCTGTGTCGAGGGCCACCATCGCCAGGCACCCCTCCCACCGATGCCGATGCCGCCCGGCGCGTGCCCTGTGCGCCCGACTGTGCCGCATGCACCTCGAGGGGTCGCTGCCTGCCCCGTGTGGCTGACTCGCTGCTCGCGCACGAGGCCGCCTGTGCAGCCGCCTGCCCCTCCGGGACCGAAATCGCGTCATGCCGGTGGCCCGAGGCCTGCTGCGGCACCTGCACCAAGCCCCCGTGCAACCCGTGTGCCGAATGCCCCCCTCGGGGGTTGGAGCGCATCCCTCCCGCCGGCCACATGGATTGCTGTGTGTTCGGCTGTGCCCATGTGCCGACCCTGCCAACCGGCGAAACGCTACCAGGCGCATGGTTCACCCCCCGCTAGGTAGCACCCCCTATGTCTTGGCACACACACACACACACGGGCATAGAGGCACACAGACGCCCGCACATTTCCCAGCACGCCGCTACAGGCAGCCGCCCGCTCCTGCCGCATCCCCTCGTTGCACCATATGGAATGCCTTGGCGGTCGCAGCGCATGCGAGGAAGGCGCAGCGCGAGGCAACACATCTATTCCCCCAATCCCGAAGGACCGCCTCCAAGTAGGCTCCATTCGCCCCACCGGGCGCCCGCCGCAAACGACACCTGCGTGATTGGCTGGCAGCAACCCCCCCCCCCCCCCCCCTCCCGGTGACGAGGCACTCACCGATCCTCGACCCCGGGGGTCCCGGCCGCCTGGGCATTGGTGGCGGCTTGCCCACGCCCTGGCGACATCTCCCAGCCGGGCAGAGGCCGACAAGCCGGCAGCCGGGCGCGAGTCAGCCCTAGGACTCGACAATGGCGCTCGCCCGCCGCGTGGCCCATGGCTCGATCCTGCCCCCAAAGACCCGAACAAAGCCCCACCGCAGGACCCGCGTGTACGTCTCCTCGCGCGCCGCCTCCGCTCGCCCATCACCAGGACTCCCTGCACCATAAGATGGCCCAATGGTCCACGACACACATGCGCACGAGCACCCTGTGGGCACCCCCCCCCCCCAGGAACAACATACCGGGCCGAAGGGTGGCTCATTTAAAGCACCGAACCCATCTCACACCTGCCCGGCGGGAGGGCACGCCCCGGCTATCCCCATTCACACCGAAAGGCAGCAGCACGATGCCCATGCTCTCAATCGGCGTCGCCACGTACATGCTCCGCTCCCCCGCCTGGCCTTCCTCCTCTCCTGCTCCGGTGTCACGCTGCTCGACCCGCCAAATCCAGTTCAATGTTTCAACGTCCACGAATGGCGCAGGCATATCACCCCCCCCCACCGCTCCAACAACAACAACAACAACAACAACAACAATAGCACCCAGTGATACACAGGTGCATTCACTCATTCGAGATACTGCTTGGCGTTCCGGTAAATGCGGGAGGCCTCCGGACAAAGCCTCGGGCGCCCATTCACATAGTACAGCGCCGGATCCTCCAGAAACACATGCTTCAACTCGAACACCCGGCCGGCCGAATGCTGCGCATACCTGGACGCCGTAAAGCGGCCACCCTGCCGACGGGCATGTGCTCGCAGCGAGTTCACCACCTGCGGCAGGGCACACCCCAGATCCGCCGCCACCTGGTGAAGCACCGGCGTCGGGTACTGGCCCTCCACCGCGGCCAGCAGCGCATCCAGCTTCCCCTCCGGCACATACATCCCCCCCGGGCCGGACCCCGCCTCCGGGGCCAGCGCCAGGAAGAAGTACTCCGGACAGCACTCATGCAACCGGTGATACAGCCGGTCCGGACACCAGCCCATCGCGGCAGCCAGCTCCGGCACCGTGTACTTCATGCGCCCGCCAGCCGGGTGGACTTCGCTCGCCAAGCGCCGCAGCGAGCGGATCTCCTCCCGCGTGGGGGGGGTCACCCGTCGCGACCCGTGAAGCCAGAAGTCCGCCGGCCAGCTGGACGATTGGACCAGATCCGCAATATACCGATGCGTGGTGGCCAATTGCTCGCTGATCTCCAATCTCGTCAAGGCCGGTCGCATCCCAGCAAGGGCCAGCACGCGGCTTTCCAGACCCGCGTCAAGGTCCTTGGCCAATGGCCGCAGGTCGGTCCCCGGGCCCGAGCAATGGACCAGCGGATTGAATGAGGTCTTTTTGTAATGCCGCAAGGAGGGGAGGCCCTTCGCGCTCAATCGCGTAGCCAGCTCCGCATCCGGCAGGCCATGCACCGGCGACTCGGCCGGCAAAAAGCGCCTCGTATACTCGGTCAGCGTCAGCTGCTTGCGGTCCGGCGGCAGGGAAAGATGCCGAATCGGGATGTTATTCCGCGCCGGCACAATGACCTCCGGCTCATAGTGCCTGATGTACCACCGGAGGGTGAGCGCCGTCATGCCCAATTCATCGGCCATGGTCCTCAGAGTGTGGCGCCGCTCCTGGAGCAGCGCTCGCATGGAGGCCAGCTTCTCCGGCGGCAGCGCCCCCCGGAGGCGGATCATATACTCCGCATGCAGCGACGGGCCGTGGATGTCGAAGGTGGACTTGCTCAAGCCCGACTGGGTGTACACTTCCCGCGGGGACGGCAGCGGATCCAGACTCCGGTCGGACAGCAGCCGCCGCATCGTCTCCAGCTGGTCGGCCGGCGCGCGGGCCACCGCCCGATCGGCATACTCCGGCATGTGCCTTCTGATGTTGCTCATCACCGAATTCTGGTCAATCGAGAGCAGCATGCACATCATGCGATACGACAGGGGGGGGACCACATTCACCAGCTGCTTCAGCCGACGAATGCACGCATTCCGCTGGAAGGTAGGCCCCTCCAGCAGCTCGGGCATATGCTCACTCAGCAGCTCGTCCACCTGCCTCGGGGGCAGGCAAACCAGCCGCGCCAAGGTCAGCCCCACCACCGGCGGATCCCTCCTGGCCAGCACCATCAGATCCTCGAAGACCGGGTGCCCGGGCCCCAGGCCCGGCAGGATGATGTGACCCGACCGCCTCGGCGGCGCAATCCCATAGTCCCTGGTATAGCGGCTCAGCAGGGCCTGCACCGAGAGACGATCCATCCCCAGCAGTCGGCCGATGGTGGACGAGCTGGCCAGTGGCCGATTCGCTCGCGGGTCCCCGGCAAGCCGCAAAAACAGCCGGAAGTGCTCCACATCGTCGAAGCCCTGTGGCAGCGGGGCTTCCCCGAGCTCGATGGCCTGGCAGAGGCGCGTTCCGGCGCACTCCGCGGCATCGCCATGGTGCTGCCCGGCCGCCGGGTTCCCGGTGGCCACACTCGGCACGGCCGAAGAGAAGGCCCTCTGCGGGTGCATCGGGGGGCCGCCCTCGCCGGGGGGCCGGATGGCGGCGTGCCGGATCCCGCTCAACAGCAACGACGCGGCTCCCCAGGTGGCAGGACCACGCCCGGGAGGCTGCCGGGCCAGCATCGCCAGCCGCAGCCAGCCGCTCCGGCACAAGGCCCTACCGGTGGCAGCCGGCGCAAACATCCGGCTTCGGGGAGGAAGAGACAGGGGTGGGTAGGTGGTAATGGGGGACTAAAGGGGGGGGGGGAGAGCAAAGGAGAGGGAGGAGAGAGAGAGAGAGAGAGGGAGAGAGAGAGAGAGGGTCGAGCAGGGCAGGAAGGGGAGAGGTTGACTGTCTGCCCTGAGACAGCCACGGGGCTCCGGGGGGGGGGCTGGCCGCCCATAAAGAAAGACATCGACCCGGGGGGGGTATAATCCCGAAAACAGGCCAGTCTCGCCAAGGGAGCCTGGCCGCGCACCAGGATACCAAGGGGGGGAATTTACTGCGTGGCCCGGCCCAGCCAAGTTCCGACGGCCCCCCTCGCACACAATACCCGGCAGATGGCCCTGTGTGTGTGTGCTGGCCCCGGGCGTAGAGCCCTCTCCGCCCCTCCGCGCACGAACGAGCCCCGTTCCCACACCACCTGGCGCGCGGTCACCCCCCCCCACCGTGGGCACTTCCCAGATGGACGACTTCGGTCCGAAGACATGCTCGGCGAGCGACGAGGCGGCGTGCTCCGCGGACCCAGTGGGCATGTGACGCACATGAGGGACACACATGACACCACACAACGCTCACGCGGCATAGTGCGCCGATCCTGCGTGCCCTCGCCCCTCCGGAAAGAAACATCCACCAGCCCAGGCCCCTCCCCGGGCGCACTGTCCCCCCTTCCCCTCCCCGCCCCGGCCCTCCCGGCCTCGGGCTTCCGGCCCCCGTGCCATGAGGTGCCCTGCGGTCCACGCTGCCCCTCCCCCCCGCCGCCCGCCAGACGGGTCTGTCCGCAGAGGAAGCCGCCAGCGTGGAGAAAGAGGACCAAGCCAGGGGGGAGGGCGCAAGGCGCCCGCGCGCGCGCGCCGCCACAGATGCGGTTGGAGCGTGTGGGGCCACGCCCGAACCGGGGCGCGCCCCGGTGACCGAGGCGAGGAATCCTGGCTTCCCCAACACGCCGCGCGGCTCGCACACAGATGGAGACACCGAGAGGCCACTTGTGCGAGGGATGCGCAGACAAGTACACGCAGCGAGGAGGAGGGAACGAAAGGAAAAAGAGAGACAGGGAGAGATAGAGAGTCCCCCTCGCATGGGTGGCCACTGTCCCGCCAGCAGGGCCGAAGAGGGTCAACGGGTGAGGGCGGCCAAAAGAGGGACACGTAAACATCGCGTGGTGCATGGCAGGGGCGGAAAAGGCCGGCGAGAGGGGCTGGAGAAATCGTGTAGGACCCCACCGGCTGGACTTTCCCCCCGGCCTCCCGAAAATACAACACGGCCTATATTATGTCTCTTTTTCGCCCTGGAAGGGAGACCGGAGCGTCGCGCGCGAAGACGTGCCACGGTGCCAACGAATGGCCCACTCGGCCTCCCAGCCCGATCTCCACCGCCGCAGGGAGGGCAGCTGTGCCCGCCCCGCCCTGCGGCGCGTCGGTTGTTTTGGCTCCCGGACGGGGCGAGCGCCGGCACACGCGCCAGGCTCGTGTCCCGGCCGGGTCGAGCCCGGGCCGCCAAGTCCGTCCCAGACCGGCGCCTGTCGCCCTGTCTCCGCTCCGGGCTGTGCCCCTCTGTCTGCCGCCCGCAGTCCGGCGCGCGTGCCCCCTTGGCCGCCAGACACATCACCGGCCCCGGTGCCGACCCCGCCCCCCGGTCGCCGGCATCCAATCCCGCGTCGCCTCAAACACGAGGTCCCGATTCTCCTCCCGCGCCCGTCCTTCCCCAGCGTGGCCCAAGGCCCCGGCCTCAGCGTCCGAGACATGCGCCCCTCTCAGCCCCTCGAGCTGCGTCGGTGTCACCTGCCGCAGGGTAAGCCCAAGCACCGTCCCACCGCGACCGGCCCGCGCCTCCTCCGCCGGTGGCATGCACTCGCCAAAGTGACACGCGGCGCCGGTGCGGGATCCTGGCACCTTCGGGGCCCGGCCCTCCGGCTGCGTGGACATGCTTCCCTTTCGCGCCCTTGGTGTGGGCTGCTCGTCCGTCGGCCTGCATGCGCCCCAAGCAGCTTCGACCGCCGGCCTGGATCCTCGGTCTGCCACGCCCGGGGCCTGGCCCACGCGTGATGGCCCCGAGCGAAAGGCCCTCATGCTTGCGTCCGGCCCCCGGCGACCCGGGACCCGCCGGCCAGGCAAGTCCCCGGGGAAGACGTCGGCCGTGGCAGCACTCCCCTCTCGGCCGGTGCCGACGGTACTTGATGCCCCGCCGGGGGGGGGGGGGGGGGGGCTCTGCCACCGAGCCGGGGCAAAGGGCCGTCTGCCCCATCGCACTGGTCCTGGTACCGGGCTCACAGTGGGGCCCCCCTCCCCTCCCCCGGGCACGGCGCCACCCTCTCTGGCCGGCTCTTGCCATGCCAGCCCACATGGGCGTACTTCCTCGGGGGACGTCCCCAGCACAATCGCCCCATCGGCCGGTGCAGCTGGCCCCACCGGCCTTGCCCCCCCCTTGTGCCCCGGTTGACGCCTTCCGCCGGCACAGCCCGCGGCCAACGGGCCGGTGCATGGCAATCCATCCTCTCGACAGAGGGACGAGCCTGGTCGCCCGCTCCCACGGCCGCCGGCGACCCATGCCCCGGCCTTTCGCCAGCATGTCCAGCACTCCGAGCCGCCCCCCCCCCCCCCGGCAGGTGTGCCATCGGCATGGGAGCACCATCCGACACCGGCGGAACCCGCCGGCCGCGACCGTCTCTTCCACGAACACCAGGTGCCCCTCCTGGTTCCCCCAGTGCACTCGAGCGCCTGCATGCCCGGTTAGGTCGTTCCCATCGCCACCGATCTCGCGCCGGGCGCCGGCGATCTCGCCAGACACAGTGCCGCCAGTGGCTGGCCAACCGGCGGCCAGCCCTGCTCCTGGGATGCTGTGGCCACGCCGATGCCCAGGCCCCCCCCCCTCCCCCCCTGGCATTGGTGCCATGGGTGCCCCGACCGCACACACCGCCGCCGCCCTTTGGCCAGGCGGATCGCACTCAGGCGATCGTTGCGCCAATGTCCTCGCCCGCGACCCGATGTCCCAAACGCAAGGTTCCAGCGCCAGCGACCCAAGCGGGCATCACACTCCGCCAGGGCACGAGAGGCGTGGGGGGAGAATATGCCCCCCCCCCTTCCGCCGCAAAAAGGCAGAGCGCGCGCGCCGGTCGGCCCGGCGGCCGTGGCAACCATGCTCCGAGTCCCTTCGATGGCCAGGCACAGACTCGGACCGAGAGACCGGGAGCACGGTGGGCCTCTGCCCGCCTGCTGGCGTGTTCGGCAGGCGCCCTGTCCTCGGGCGTCGGTGCCACTTCCCTGTTCGTGTGCATGGCCGACGCGGAGGCGGCTCCGTTCGACGCTTCTCCAGTGTGTCTGACATCCCCACGGCCTTCGGTGTGCGCCCCCGGGGCGCGGCGTGGCCTCCTGCTGGGCATCCCCTCGAGCGATGCGCGCCCCGCGCGGCTCAGCATGCTCACGCGTCGGTTCGACTGGAGAGTCCGTGTCGTGGTCCCAAGGGCGGCTTCCTGGTGAGAAGCTGTGTTTGTTTCACCGGGGGTTGCTCGATGACGGGTGCCCGCTCGGGTCTCGACGCTCCGCCCCGGCTCGGATATGGTCTTCGACCTTGGATGCCGCCCTCACGAGCGTCACACCGCGCCCGTGCACGCGCGCACCAAGCTGGCAAGGCTAGGAGGCCGGCCAGCGCGCCGCACCACCTCCGAGGGGGTCCCCTGCGCGGCAACCGGCCCACGTCCGGATTTCCCACCCAGATGGTGGCGGGGGGCCGCCTCGCTGCCGGTCGCGCGCCCCGGCCAGATGCGGGACATGTGACCCCCCGCACGAGACCGACTCGTGCCCCGCACCGGAGCCAACGCCGCCCACAGGCTCGAGGCCCCCCGCAGTTGGCGAATGTGGGAACATCCGACGGACCAGCAAGCACCCGGGGCTCGGGGGGAGCATGCGCTCCTCTCCCAGCCGGCCAGACAACCGGACCAGGGAAAAATGCCCACGAAGTGTCACATTAACCGGAATACCGGTCTCGATTACAAGTGGTGGCCTGTTCCAGGGGCCATTTGGATGTCCTTCCCCCGGTCCGAATTTCTTTCTTGCCATCCTTTATTCGCCCGAGCGCGACGCATGGCGCGGTGGGGGCCCCGTACGAGGGGACCACCCGCCGCGCCCCCAAGATTCCGCCTGCCACCCGCGGGCAGACAAGCACACAAGCCGCGGCATTGGCTCGTGGTCGTTGCCCCTGGTCGCCGGCCCCCTTTTTGGCCAGGTGGGGGAGGTACACGCAGGGGCCCGAGGGGGACAGCACGCATGCAACACCCACACACAGGCCCGCCCGGTTGCTTTTCCGGACCTCAGCTGAGGGTCTATTTGGCCCCCAGAATATCGCGGCCCTGCACCACACGGCATGTGCATTGGTTGACAGTGCCCGCACACGACCCGCCGAGCCGAGTGCCTGCTGACCAGGCTCTTCGACGCTGCTCCCACGCTGGCCCCCTGCTCGGGGGCCACGGCAACACACCGTCCGCCCAGGGGTGCCGGCGTCTTGCCTGCGTTCGCCCCTCCCCCCCGAGGGCCAGGACACTGGGGGGCGAGCCACCGGTCCGCGCGTCCCGCCGCGGTACTCCCCGCATCCCCTGTCCCGGCCCTCGCAGGGCCCCCAAACGGGTGGATCCCCAGTCCAACCGGCACCCGGCCTGGAGGCGGGCGGAGCCTCCGGTCCCCCTCTCCGGCGGGCAGCCACCGGGTGCAGCGGCAGCCCGGCCCATTCCCGGCGCACCTATATCAGCCCGCACCGTGCTCGATCTCTTGTCACCTTCTTTCCCGCCCTCACGCGTCTCCCCCCCCATCAGGCTGGCCTCCCCATCCCTCTGCGACCGTTCCTAGCCCCCCCCCCCCCCCCGCTCCATACGCACAGCCCCTCTATCCCCCTCCTCCCCTCCGGCGCCATGATCCCGCCCACCGGCCGGCTCCCGTGGCTGGCCCTGGTGCTGGGCATCCTGCTGCTGGCGGCCGCGCCGCTCGCCGAGGCCGGGCTCCAGCCCACCCCCTCGCACCTGGAATACATCCGGGTCCACACGATCCCCGGCCCGGACAACCCGACCATCGATCTCAACCGGGACATCCACTTTTGCGACTTCTTCAGCCAGGACACCCTGCTGCCCGGCACGCGCGACGGCCTGGCCGACCTGTCCTTCTATGAGACCCACTACACGGCCCGGCCGAGCCCCGGGGCCCCGATCAGCTTCATCCACGCCGGCCCCGGCAGCGTGTCCTGCCTCACGACCAGCCCCTTCCCCCGGGCCCCACTCGCGCCCACCAGCACCCTGTACAACCCGCTGGCCGGGCAGCTCGCGGATCTCTTCCTCGCCCAAAGCCCGCCGGTCCTCCTCCGCGGCAATGGCCTCTTCGCCGTCGGGTCCTCCCTGGCCTCGACCCTGTCGTCGGTCGTCGTGTCGGCCTTCCCCCATGGCCAGGACGCCCCGGCCGTCTGGGCCCTGGTGAAGTTCTTCGCCGGCCACCCTACCTACATCGCTGTGCAGGTCCTTGGCCCCGACCCGGAGCACGACTACTCCAAAGCCGACACCTTCCCCCAACTGAAGAACATCCGCGGGGCCATCGCCGTGGACATCGATGCCGACGGCCACGCCGAGGCCCTCATCGCCAGCCAGCACGAAGACCACCCCGGTCAGGGGTACTGCCTGACCCTGCTGTCGGACTTCCTGGGCGCCAGCTTCTGCCAGGAACGCATCCTGGCCGTCCTGCCACCGGGCTTCCTGCCTGGCGGCATGGTGGTCGGCGACTTCGATGGCGATGGCAATGCCTCGGACATTGTGGTCCTCCCCGGGCTCGGGTCCGCCAATGCCCCGGCCCTCTTCTTCCTCCTGTCCGGCAACCAGTTCGCCCAGCCGGTCGTCATCGACCTGGCGGACTTCTACCGCGGCAGCCCGCCCGGCACCTGGACCGGCGAGCTGTTCAAGGCCACCGCCGCGCGCGTCACCTCCCCGGACCACCACGACCTCATCATCGCCGGGGGTCGTCGCGTCCTGGTGCTGACCGGGCCGCGCGACGCCGCCGCCGAGGCCCCCGCCTCGCCGATGACCCTCAATGCCATTGATTACTTTGCCCTGGTGCCGGATGCCCCTTCCGGCCGGTGGGTCGGCCTGGCCAGCGGCGACTATGATGGTGATGGCCACCTGGACATCGCCCTCGCCCATGACAGCGACCCGAGCGCCATCCGCCTGTACTCGCTGCACAGCGCCGCGCCCACGTGCCTCTGCGGCCCCAAGGCCCAGTGCATTCACCAGGGCGGCCCGCATGTCCATCCGGCCTGCACCTGCGCCCTGGCCCATCGCCAGCTCCTCAACACCTACTTCCCGTGCGAGGCCTGCCTCGCGGGCTTCTTCCTCGGTGACGGTGCGCGGCGCCCGGCCCCTGCTCATTGGGCCAGCCCTTGACCGCTCCCCCTGCCGGTATTGACCCATTCCCCCCCCCCCCCCCCGCCCCATCATGCCCCTGGCGCCCAGACAACAAGTGCCTCGCCTGTCACAGCAGCTGCGCCGCATGCAGCGGTCCCACCGCCACCGATTGCATCACCTGCCGCACGGGCACCTTCCTGCTGGACGGCAGCTGCATGCCCGCCTCGCCCGTGACCACGCGCGTCCGTGTGGAGGATGACCCCACCCTGCCGCTGTACTTCCAAGCCTCGGAGGTGGTGGCCACCGCGCAGTTCGAGCGCATGGCCGTGGTCAGCTTCGATGTCGGCCTCAACATGGGCTATGCCTTCCACGATTTGTGCGCCTTCGGGCACCTCTACCAGACGGACCTCAGCCCGGCCTCTCCGATCAAGGCCGAGGCCCTGCACATGGGCTTCGCCTCCACCTCCTGGATGGCGTATGCCACCCCGGCGCCAGGCGGCGGCCACTTCAATGCCACCGCCACCGGGGCCGACGCCCTGAGCACCCTCCTCCTTCGCCGGGATGGCGATGCGCCCCTCCTCGTGCCGCATGCCGGCGGGACCACCGTCGAATGCATGGCCGCCAGCGGTAGCCCCGAGGCCCGGCTGTGCCATGCCATGTACATGACCCCGCTCAATGGTCACGCCCTGGCCTTTGCCCGGCCGGCCCCGGGCCGGCGCATTGCCGCGGCCCTGCCCATGCTCGGCACCCGGCGCCTGGTGCCGCCCAACCGCCATTTCCGCGCCGGCACCTGGCACCCGGTGGACAACCACCCGGGCCTGGACCGGTGGCTGGTGGCCACCTCGGCCCAGCCGGCCGATGTCCTGTGCCAGTACCACTGGACCGGCCTCCTGGCCGAGGACATGGCCAGCAGCTCCTCCCGCACGGCCTTCCTGTCGCTGGAAACCCCGGCCGGCGACCTGGCCCCCTGCGGCCAGCCACACTCGCTGCCCGCCGACCCGGCCGGGCTCGCGCCCCCGCCGCTGCTCATCTCCGCCGAGGGCAATGCCCCGGGGCTGCCGGGGCTGCTCTTCTTCTGGCGCTCGAGCCTCACCGCCCGGACGGCCGGCACCCCGCGCATGGACACCATGGTGCCCCTGCTGACGGCCGCCGATCTGGGCTACGCTCCGGGCACCTCGCCCCCGGTCCTCCATGCGGCCATCGTGCCGCACACCGCCCGCCATGACCATGTCCAGCTCTTCCTGTGGGACGGCTCGTGGGCCTATGCCGCCGTGCTCAAGATCAGCCCCTCCGGCGCCCTGCGCCTCGATGTGCAGCCCGTGGTGCCTCGCCGCCCGGAGGACATGCAGCCCTTCGCCGGCGCGCCTGCCGACCAAATCCGCTTGGTCCCCCTGGACCTCGACGCCGACGGCCGGCCGGAGATGGCCCTCGTCCGCCTGAACACCGGCAAGGTGGTCTTCTTCACCGAGGCCGGCCCGCACAATGGCTGCGGCGCCGGCACCCTCGGCACCTGCGTCACCCCGCGGCCCGCCTGGTCCGCCACCACCTGCAGCACGGCCGACGACTCCGGCTGCGTCCCCCGGCCGACTGCCCTGGTGGCCGGCGACCTGGCGGTCTGCCTCTCCGGCGTGGCCACCCCCGAGGTCCCGTGTGCCCTGTGTGACCCGGACACCATGGAGGGTATGGTCCTCCCGCCGCCTTTCCCCTGTTTCCCCGCCCCCGGTCCACTGACTCGACATTGTTAATGGCGCAGACTGCACCCCGCCCTGCAGCCTGCCCCACTGCCGCCGGTGCCTGGATGGCCGGTGTCTCGCCTGCCACACCGGCTTCCTCCTGGCCGAGGACGGCACCGCTTGCATTGCCGCCTGCCCGGACCCGGATGCCCCGGTGGCCAAGGGCCAATGCCTCGCCCCGTCGCCCACCGCCTTCCTGCCCTGGGCCCGGATCATGCCCCAGGCATCGTGGGCCGGCTTCCGGCCGCTCGGCCTCATGCACGCCCGGCCGGCCCACCTGGTGTTCGAAGGCCAGCCCACGACCTGGCCCGTGGCCACGGCCACCCCCAGCCTCCTGGGGCACTTCGGCCCGGAAGCCGACGCCCTGACCCTGATCCCGGTCAGCCCGGCCGCCGTCGATGGCCGGCCCACCGAGGTCCGCCAGGTGAACTTCCCCCAAGTCCTCGAGGACTTCCTTGCTTGGGATGCCGGCATCCGGGGGCTTGCCGCCATGGGCGCGCAGTCTCCCCGGGCGGCCGGCCACCACCGGCCGCAGCCGCGCCCCCCTTCGCGCGCCGGCTTCTCCAGCTTCGCCACCCTCTTCGCCCGGTCCCCGGCCGCCGGCCCCATGCGATCGGCCTCCCCCCCCGGCGGGCCCGCCGCCAGCCAATACCCCAGCTCCGACCCGACGGACTTCCCCCCGGTCACCAGCCTGGCCGAGCTTCTGCGCCCGATTGCGCCGCCCTTCCTGGCCGGGCTCCAAACCCGGGAGACCCTTGCCCCGCGCGAGTCGCAGGCCTCCGGCCTGGCGCTCAGCATGGCCCCCTTCTCCACCGGCAGTGTCGGCCTCTCGCGCATCGACACCGATCTGCGCCTCCTGCCCCACTACGGCTTTGGGTATGTCCGCCGCCCGGCCGACCTGGACGCCGATCTGCCGGTTGTCGCCACCCTCATGTCGCTCGTCATCGCCCCGGGCATGGTCCAGCCAACGGAAAGTGCCCACCGCGACCCGCTGTCGGTGCTGATGTTCCCCCTGCCGCACCCGGCCACCGAGCTGGCCTTCGCCCCGGTGCAACTCCACGGCCAGCGCGACCCGCGCATCCCCTCGCTCCTGCGCCGGGCCCCGGGCGCCGACCCGGACGCCCCGCCCGAGCACCTCCTCCTGCTGCCCACCTGGATGGCCGGCTACTGGGACCTGCCCTACTCCATCGCCACCCTGCTCATCACCCTCCCCTCCTTCGGGCCCCGGCTCAGCGTGCCTCGGGTCGACTACCAGTGGGGCGAGTGCCTGGTGCTGGCCCTGCCATCGGCCACTAGCCTCTATCCGGCCCTGGCCGGCACCGCCGGCGAGCGCCCGGCCGTGCTCTTCATCCACAGCTACTACCAGGAGCCGGAATTCCTGTTCTTCCAGCCCCCGGGCGACGACGTGCCCCTGCACCAGGCCCTCTTCTACCGCCAGGCGACCGACACCCTGGCCCATGCGGTCTTCGTCCGGGCGGACGGCGCCCCGGCCGGCATCGTGGCCCAGCCCTTCGACTGCCTCGCGGACCAGAGCCTGTGGGACTTCGAGGAGGCCTACGGCGCGTCGCCCTTCGCCACCCCGGCCGGCCTGCTGGCCGACCCCTTCCTCGAGGGCAACCTCTCCGGCCGGCGGGACTCCGGCTGCCCGCTGGCGGTCATCGAGCACCTGGCCGTCAGCCCGGAATCCGAGCTGGCCGTCATGGACCTCAACCGTGACGGGCAGGAGGACCTAGTCCTGGTGGACCGGGCCACCGGCCGGGTGGTGTTCTACCTGGCCGACACCCTGGCGGCCGACCGCCAGGCCATCTCCTTCCGCCGGGTGGTGGTCATGCCGGGCAGCGCCCTGGCCGCGGGGCAGGCCGCCGCCTCGCCCGGTCCCGTCATCCAGATCGTGGACTTCAACAATGACGGCCTGATGGACGTGGTCCTGACCGAGGACACCGCCGCCGGGCCGCGCGTCAGGGTCTACGCCCACCCGGACACCACGGCCCCACAATGCCCACCCGGGACTGCCTTCAGCCAGGAGGACTTCTCCTGCGTGTGCCCCGGCGCCAACACCCTCTTCGATGTGGCCGGCAATGCCTGTGCCTGCATTGCGCATGCCGTGCAGGTGCAAGACGGCCCGGACTGCGCCTGCCCGGCGGGCCTGCTGGCCACGGCCACCGAGTGCGCCTGCCCCGCGGGCCGGCGGCCGCTCTATGACGAGGCGGCCAGCGGCGAGGTGGACCCGCGCACGTGCGGCGAGTGCGACGACTCGTGCGGCACCTGCTCGGTGCAGCGCCCCGGCCGGTGTGCCACCTGCCCGGCCGGGCTGCTGGACCTGGACCACGGGCAGGCCTGTGTGGCCGGCTGCCCGGCCGGCTACAACCGCACCTCCGATGGCCGGGGCTGCGTGGCCTGCGCGGCCGGGTGCGATGCCTGCACCGGGGTGCCCGGCCGCTGCACGGCCTGCGCTCCGGGGCTCTGGCTCGACGAGACCACCGGCCGCTGCCAGCCCTGCAGCACTCGGTGCGACTCGTGCTCCGGCCCCGGCGACTGCCACGCCTGCATCCCCGGCTACTCGGTCAACCAGCTGACCGGCCTGTGCGAGGAAACCTCCTGCTCGCCGGGCAGCGGGTTCGACCCCGCCACCGGCCAGTGCGTCGCCTGCGCCGGCACCGACTGCCTGCACTGCGCCCCCGGCGCCTCGACCCACTGCACCGCCTGCCCGGCCAATGCCATCTACGACTCGACCAGCCGCACATGCCGGGCCTGCCCGGACCACTGTGCCACCTGCCAGCAGGACCCCCACGGCCAGTGCCTCTCCTGCCAGGAGGGCTACTTCCTGTCGAACGGCATCTGCGTGGCCAACTGCCCTCAAGGCAGCTTCCCCCGCCCGGGGGCCAGCCCCGGCGTCTGCGACGCCTGCTATCCCCTGTGTGCCGAGTGCACCGGGACCCAGTCCGCCCAGTGCCTCCGGTGCTTCCTGCCCACCGATATCCTCACCCCCGGGGCGGATCTGGCCTGCCAGCCGCCCCCCTGCCCCGGCGGCCCCGGCGCCTGCCCCTGCAACATCGCCAACTGTGCCACATGCCTCAACCAGGATGCCACCATGTGCCTGCGCTGCCAGCCCGGCTACCTGTTGCTTCCCTACTCCATGTGCGTCCTGCCGGACATGTGCCCCCCGGGCTACTATCCCAACATCGAGGCCGGCCTTTGCGGCGTCTGCGGCGCGGGCTGTGCCACTTGCGACCCGGCCCGGCCGGAGGTGTGCCTCTCCTGCCCGGCCACCGACCCGGTCCAGCTGGTCAACGGCCGCTGCACCTGGGACTGCCCGCACACCGGGTTCTTCCGCGACCCGACCCAGGGTCACGCGTGTGTCCCATGCCCGGCCGGCTGCCGGCTGTGCAGCGGCCCCCTCGCGTGCGACACCTGTGAGCATGGCACCCTCGCCCACCAGGGCAGCTGCCTGACCAGCTGCCCCTTCGGCACCTTCCCCGAAGCCGGCGCCTGCCAGCCCTGTGCCCAACATTGCGCCAGCTGCTTCGGCCCGGCCGCCACCCACTGCTCCAGCTGCCGCCACGCCATGTTCCTCGCCCTGGGCCAGTGCCTGGACGCCTGCCCGGCCGGCTCCTACAGCCCGACCGGCGAGGCCGGCTGCCGGCCCTGTGCCGACGGCTGTGCCGAGTGCGTCGGCCCCGAGCCCCTCCACTGCACTGCCTGCCTGGGCACCGGCTACCTCTCGGTCACGGATGGCACATGCGCCAGCAGCTGCCCCAGCAACATGGTCCCCTCGGCCGTCGGCCGCAACTGCCTCCCCTGCCATGCCACCTGCAGCACGTGCTCCGACGCCTATGACCCGGGCGCCTGCATTGCCTGCGCTCCCGGGCGCCTGCTCCAGCCCGGCGTCGGCTGCCTCGAAGCCTGCAACCCGGGCTCCTTCCCGGCGCAGGGCGGCACCTGCCTGGCTTGTGATGGTACCTGTGCCGAGTGCTCCGGCCCCGCGGCCGGCCAGTGCACCGCCTGCAAGCCGGCCCGGCCGATTCTCGTCCCCGGCGCCGGCTGCCTGGATGCCTGTCCCGCCGGCTCGTATCGCCTCCCGGGCGCCGATGCCTGCGCCCCCTGCCATCCCAAGTGTGCTGCATGCACCGGGCCCACCTCGGCCGAGTGCACCCCTCCGCTTCCGGATGACGACAGTAGCACCTCCACGAGTGACAGTGCGCCAGGTGGCAGCTCTAGCAGCAACAGCAGCAATGGCAGCAGCAGCAGTAGCAGCAATGGCAGCAATGGCAGCAGCAGCAACAGCAGCAACAGCAGCAACAGCAGCAACAGCAGCAACAGCAGCAACAGCAGCAGCGATGTCCCGTCCTCCGGCCGCAACAAGACCGCCCTGGCCATCGGCCTCGGGGTAGGCCTGCCCCTGCTGGCCATCATCATCGTGGCCGTCGTCGTGGTGCTGGTCATGCGCAAGCCCACCGGCGCCAAGGCCGGCTCCAGCGCCGGCCCGGGCATGAGCAACACATCCATGGAGATGGGCGAGATCCTGCCTTAGCAGAGCGGCTCCGCTAGCTGGCATCCTTCCTGTACCGCGCCTTCGCCGCCCGCGCGCCGGCGCCGAGGTGCACCGACACCCGAAATACAGCGACATCCCACACTTCGCCGGCACCTTGCCTGTCCAGTTCCTCCTCCCCCCCCCCCCGCTCCGAGGCGCCCCTCACGCAAACACACAAACGCACATTTTGCCTCGGGGGGGATCTGCCCTGCCCGCGGCTCTCGGTGACATTGGGGGCACGGACGACAGGGTGTGTGTGTGTGTGTGTGTGTGTGTGTGTGTGTGTGTGTGTGTGTGTGTGTGTGTGTGTGTGTGTGTGTGAATCAAACCACACGCACGCGGCCGACGGAAAGCCACCGCGCCGCCCAGCACATTGGACAAGGGCAGCTCCCCCGGGGTGGACGCGCCTGGGCCCGGCCCTTCGGCCACCACCAGCCGGGGGCCGCGCACAGGGCGCCACTCCCCCCCTCCTCCGACAGGGGAGCTCCACGCCAACCCGGCCGCAGGCGCCGAATCCCCGGCGCCGCCGGGGGGCTCCTCTGCACCCGGATGCGCGCCAATGCCGCCCGGGGCTCCCTTCGGGTTAGCCCCCGGAGTGACCAACACAATAGCCCGCATTCTGACGGACATGCTCCACTCAGTTAAGACTTGGCACGCTCGCCGTGCTGAAACCCGCCGTCATCCCGCCCCCCCTTTCGGCCCCAAGCGGCTGGGCGATAATGACAACACCACTTGAAAATGGAAAAAAAAAACAACAATAATGGTTTTTGTCTGGCCCCGCCCCCTGCCCGGTCCCTGCCCTCCCTCCCTCCAGCGAACGCCAGCCTGCCAGCAAGGGCCCCGGCGGAGCGCGCCACCTCTCACAAGCACGCCTCGCATCCTGCGCGTCGACGCCCGGGCCCCTGTGCACTCACATGGAAACAGGCCGTCCAGCGGGGTGCAAGAAAAAAGAAGAGTGACCACGATGCGGCTCGAACACACAACCTCCTGATCCGTAGTCAGGTGCTCTATCCAATTGAGCTACGCGGCCATTCTTTCCTCCCCACCGCCTGCACTCAAATGGCGCTGTAACCATAATGTCACCTCCGACGCCGCGTCGGAACTTCGCTCCGCTCACCTCCTCCGCACCTGCCTCACCTCGCCCTGCTTTGTTTTCCCCTGCTGTCGCCTCCCCGCCAAAATCTGGTCACGCCCTCCACGTGATCAAATGGCCGGAGATCCATTTTTCTTTCCCCCTTTCCCCGTAGGTGGGTGTTAGCATCGCCCGTCAACGATGCAACCCATTCCCTCTCGTTTTCCCCTTCTTTCCCATGTATTTCCTCTTTTCCGGGCACCCCTATATAAGGGCCCCCTTTTCGCGCCTCCCCTCCAAGGGCTCAGCACCTTGAAGGATAGTCATTCTCTTTGCGGAGGCCGTGACTACCCGTTTCCCTGCCTCTGTACGTCGCTCCCCTGGAGCGGTGTGACTCAGTCCCTGATGTACTCTCTATAAAGACGCAGATCACCAGCTTTCCTTTCTTTTGTTGTTGTGTCCACGTCCGAGTGGTGACCCTCTCGGGACGGAACACTCTGGGTGGTTCAGGGAAGGCCCTCACCGGTCCCCCAGAATCGCACACCAGAACCGGAGTGTTTCAGGCGCGCAGGAGCTCGGCAGTCGCCCACCACCACCGCCGATGCCCCCAAACAACCGAGCACACACACACACACACACACACACACACACACACACACACACACACACACACACACAGACAGAGGAAAGTCTATTCCCAATCGCAAAAACACACGGCGTTTAGTACTTGGACCAGCCGTCATCCGCCGAGGAGGGCGACGACTCGGCCGAGTACGGCGGCGGCGGCGACGACATCGGCATGTCGGGCACCGACCGGTCCGGGGACACTTCGGCCCCGGCCGGCCCCCCGCCGCCCGGCCCACCGGAAGACGGCAGACCGGGGGGCAGGCTCTCGGTCAGAGGCACGAGCATGATGCCGCCCTCCCCATCGTCCGCGCCATCGTCGCCGGCCTGGAAGCTCACCGACGAAGCACCCGGTGAGATGAGGGACATCTCCTTCGAGGCATACGGCCCGGGGTCCTCGTCGGCGAAGCGCACCGCCCTGGCGGGCCTCGAGCCGGCCACCGGCTTCGAGGCGGCGCCCCGAGCCTGGGACTCCAAGTCGGCGGACATGGCAAACAGCTCCTCCGACGTGGGCAGCTCCTCGGCCGCGCTGTTGCTCGGCCGCATCGGGCCGCTGATCTCCCGGATCTCGTCGAACACCGGCAGCCGCCGGTTCGTGCTCTTCAGCAGGTCCGGATCCCGGGCGATGCTCACGCGCATCACCAGCCAGCTGACCAGGGCCACCACCACCGCCAGCCCATACGGCAGGCCGATGCTCAGCCCCAGCACCAGGTCCAGGGCCCCCGGCCGCCGGGAGTAGCTCACCCGCGCGTCATGGTACTCCAGCGAGCTGGAGGTGTGGAAGATGATCGTCCCCATGCCCGGGTCGGCATTCGACACGGCCGCCCTCTGGCCCAGGGCCACCCGCCGAGCGGGAGGCAGCCGGTGCGCCGGGGCCTCCGTCGACAGCTGCAAGTGAAGCGGCCCCGCGCCGCAGGGCCCGGACAGCGAGTTGTACACCACGAAGAAGTAGTGGTCCGACCGGCTGACCGGCAGCCACTCGGTCAAGGGCTCCTGCCCGGGCCACAGCTTGCCCTCCCACTCCAGTGGCACCCAATCGCCATAGGCCCAATCGTCGAAGTTGGTGCTCCCCCGGATGATGAGATAATCCAACGGGCAGGACACCTGCCCGGCCAGGATCGAAGTCACCCGCGCCCCGGCCGGCAGGTAGACCTCCATCGCTCGATAGAACCCCCCGCCGGGGGGTTCCACCTCGGTGACCATGTCGCCGGTCAGCTGGCTGACCCGCTCCGGCGGGCCATCCGCCGCCGGCAGGAAGTACGCCTGCACCGCCGACCCCGACAGGGGGGTCACCCCGTCGAAGAAGTGGGGATTCACCTTGATGGTGAAGGTCCCGGCCGGCGGGAGGGACCACGAGCGCGATGTGTACAGCGGCACGAAGGACACGCAGGCCAGCATGGCCACGAAGGACAGGATGAAGCCCCACCAGCAAAACCACGAGCAGATCATCCGATGGGCGACGACAATCCGCGGCAGCGGCCTGCGCCAAAGGGGCATCCGCACGCGGCGCGGCATGGGCAGGCGCGGGGCGGGGGGGGGGGGGGGAATGGCCATGGTCAGTCGGCAATGCAGACACACCGGCGGGGAGGGGGGGCGGGACCTGGGGAAGGCAGTCAAAGAAGCAGGAGGCAGATGGCTGCCCGACGGCCGCGCACGAATTCTTCGGGGGCCCGCAACAGTAGATGGCCCGGCAGAAAAGCCCGCCGCAGCAGCTGCAATCGCAGTCGGCGCTGGATCCGGACGAGTAGTAGGTGCTGCTGCTCGACCGATAGCGCCGTCGCGAGGAGGACCGGGAGTATGATCGGCTTCGAGAGCGCGAGCTGCTTCTCATGCCGCCGCCACCGGAGCGGCGTCCACCCCGCATGGTTCAAAGGGTAGGCTGGGGAGGGGGGGGAGTAGGTGTGCGTGTGGGGGAGGGGGCGACAGCCAAAGACGACAGGCGGAGGGGACGAAGGCAGGGGGAGCGGCGGAGGGAAAGGACGGATCCGAAACGCAAAAAAAAAAACAAACGGCAGTGATCGTGGAGCCTTTTTGCTCGGGCGACCACGGCCAAACCGCGCCCCGGCCTGGTGCCTTTTGTTCCGCCGGCGATCGCGCCACGCGAATCGGCTCCTGTGGAGCGCCTCCGGGGGCCGGAAGGCCGGGGAGCGAAATTGCCGAGGGAAAGGCGCCGGCCGCCGGCCGGCCCCCCGCCCCGGCGCATGTGTCCGGGCCGGCTCCCATCCAAAGGGGCAAGTCCCATGCGCGGCCTAGGCCCGGCGTGCTTTCGCACCGCCGGCCTTGCCCCGGCGCCTGGCCCCGGAGTTGGCGGGCCCCGCGTTCCCACCACGTCGCACACAGGGCCCGCGAGAGGGATCAAGGACCGGGCCCGCTGCCGGGGATTGCGGCTGGTGTCAGGGCGGCGCGCGCTCGCGCTCTCCCCCCCCCCCCCCCCCCCCCGGCCCGAGGATGACTCGCACACGCCTGGCAACTGGGGCCGATGTGCGCACGTGCCACCGGATGCCACCGTCCCCGACATTCCAAAGAGCCACTGATCCGTCGGCAAGTGCGCGACCAACGCGCGCCGGCCCAAAAAGAATCTGGCCCCAGCCAGGATCGAACTGACGACCTTCGCGTTATTAGCACGACGCTCTAACCAACTGAGCTATGGGGCCACCGGTAGGGGACGCCCCCCAAGATGCGGAATTTATCGGTGGAAAAAAGCTCGCAGCCTCCGCCGGCAACGCGCCGCCGGCAGACCCGCAAGGAGGTCCGCCCCCCCCCCCCCCCCCCCGACTGGCCGGGCCACGCGCGTCGGGGGGGCCATCCACCAGGGCGAGGCGGGCCCCGGGCCGGACGCCGCATGCCAGCCGACCGGCCTCGATGCGGCCCCTCGCCCCCGGAGCGGTGGGATGCCTCCCGAGGTGTGCGAGGCCATCCCGGGCGATGGCAGGTCCGCGCTGGATCCCTGATCACGTAGGTGCGCGTGACCCGGCCCTCGGCCGGTGGCCTCCGCAGAAGGGGGCCTCTCCGGCATGGAAAAGGGGGCCCGACCTGCTACATGCCGCGTTCCCGTTGCCGGCGCCTGTTCCCGCCCCCTCACATTCCCCAGGTGTTTTTGTTTATTATGTGATATCCCCCCTCGCCCCCGCCCCCCGCCCCCCGGGCGCGGTCGGGCACACCCAGCATCATAGCGGGCCGGGCCTCCCCCGACGCCAGCCAACATGCAGGGCCCACGCCCGGGCCGCCCACATGCCTGCCGATAGGCCGAAACCAGGCTGGCCTTTGTCCCGGGTGCCGGGCGCGCGCGCGTGCGTGCGTGCGTGTGTTTTCGCCCTGCTTTCCCCCCCCCAACCGCCCGACGACAGGGTGCGCGATGGTCCGTCCAACCCGTCCGACCGCCCTGCCTCCCGGAACTGGCGGTGCCCAAGCCATTCAGCCAACACACCCGGGCCACCCGGCGCACCCCGACTGGCCGGCCCGATGCCCCCCCCTCTTGTCGACCAAACGCCAGTCGTGCTCGCCCGTGTGACCCGCCGTCGACAAGCGCCCGCCCCCCAACCCGATCTCGCCCGCCCCACGCCCCCACCTGGGCCGCGGGCGCGGGCATTGTAGATTGCCGCCGTGCCCTCTGGACCCGCCCTCCCCCCGGACAGACACCGGCATAAGACCGACCCACGGAAACAGTCCCCTACCCCCGACTGCCGGCACACCAGCACCCTTCCTCCCCTCCCCCCCGCCTCCCCTCACTCTCCGCCCTTGCACATTCCACTCCCCCCCCCTCCTCGTGCCCGCGATGACACGCACGGCCCGGCTGCCACTGCCGCTCCGGCCCGCCGGAGTGCTGCTCGCCGGCCTGCTCAGCCTCGCGTTGCTGCTGCGAGTGGTCCACTCGCTGCCGACCCGCCGCCAGGCGCTGCCCGTGCTCGACTCGGCGGCGGCGGCGGCACTCGAGGCCGCCGGCGGCGACCAGCGCATGGTCGCCGCCCTGCGCTACGGCCTGCCCTTCCGGTGGGATGCCCAGGCCCAGGCCCACACCCAGTCGCCGGCCTGCCCGGAATCCTGCCTCGGCCCCTGCGACGAGTATGGCTGCCTGGCCTGCCCGGAGGGCGCGGCCTTTGCCTTCGGCGACCGGGTCTTCTGCACCGCCGCCCGGAAGCTCTGCCCCATCGCCCAGGCCCTTCCGGATGCCAGCCACCAAGCGGACATCCTCTGTGCCCCCGGCTGCCAGATATACGACCCCAGCCGGCGGGATTGCCTTGAATGCCTCCAGCCCTACTCGCTGATGGTCGATCGCAGTTGCGAGGCCTTCTGCCCGATCAACTGCCAAATGTGCACCCAATCCGGCTGCTCCTCCTGCGAGGAGGGCTTCTACCTGGATTACAACGCCTGCTACTCGTGCCCAGAGGAGTGCACCCACTGCAGCTCCCCCTCCCTCTGTAGCAGCTGCTCCCAGGGCCATTTCCATCACAGCGGCCAGTGTCTGTCCGCCTGCCCGGCCGGCTTCGTCGCCGTCGGCGGCTCCTGCCTCGCGTGCTCGGCCAACTGCGCCTCCTGCACCTCGGCCACCCTCTGCACGGCCTGCACCGCCGGGCACTTCCTCCACGCCGGGGCCTGCGTCGCCCCCTGCCCCGGCGGGACCTTTCCCTCCAATGGCACCTGCTCCAACTGCTCGGCCAATTGCACCTCCTGCACCTCCTCCGCCAATTGCTCCGCCTGCACCGCCGGCCACCT